CGAATGATCGAATAATCATTCGATTCGGTCCAAAGTATAGGGTAGAGGCTCTCTGCCCGTTATTGACAACTAGACTTTTCTAAGATGCACGTATTTTCCGTAACACAGTGAAAGTCGGTTAATCTGCTCAGACTTTGCGGATAGGTAGAGCTCATGCTTACCTGGTGAGCACGTACAATCAGTTCCAACCCAAACCGCTCGCAAACATCGTCGATAACCTGAAGCATGCGCTCGTCAGCGTTTGTTTGTAGTATTCCTGAAACTAAACACTACGTGAGTGCCAAAAGCAAAGCCTGAACCGCGAGTACTGGTGCGCCAGTCCAAAATGTTCAAATCAGGGTCTGCCCAGAGCATGTCATTTATAACTCCGCGAAAGGGATTTCTTACTGGTTTCACAGTGTTTCTCACATCCTACGAGACAGAAGTGAAAATTAGCGGATTGCTCTTTTCCAGCTTTGTTCTCACATCTAGGGACTCCAGACTAGGCGATAATCCGCCATGCATACAAAGGATTTTCGTTGCCACTAAAGCCGAGACAGGCATGTTGTTAAAACATCTCTGAAGGTGTTCATATTAGGAATCATAGAATCAGTCGTCTTTGTCTCACCTGAAACATCGCCCACACTGTCTCGCCATTTGCGCCAAGATGATTGATGCATTCGTTCCAGAAGCCATATTTCTTATTAACTCGAGCACATTCGTGATTCCCTCGCAATAGATAGACAGATGTGGGATAGCATACCTGAGGAAAATCAAATTAGAAAACATACCCTGGCAAAGCTCAGAGCATACCTTGTAAGCAAGAAGAAGCATCATGCACTCTATTGACATCATTCCTCGATCCACGTAATCACCTGTATACGGTTTTCTAATCACAGAACATTCCATGGAGCTAGGACTTTGAAAGTTTTTTACTTCAAAAGTGCATCAGAGACAAAAGCGTGAAAAGTCCAATAAAAATCACGATATAGAGTTTTTATCCTGCTCTGACGCGAATCAAATGGTTATTAATTACCATACCCCCATGCGCGAGCTGATTGAAAGAGTGTCTATCTGATTTACAAAGTCTCTCGTTTACGCACCATTTTCTCGCGAATGATTTAGAGTCAAAATAGAGATGCAGATTCTGTCCGTGAGAAAATTTATGGAGCCTTGCGAATGGGGATATTGGAGTCTTGAAAAAGCGTTTGATGATCCTAAGAATAAGTGCAAGTTGCACCTGTTCAAGAGATCATGATAACTTTGTAACTTCCACTTGATTTATTCCTCTCCCCATAAAACGATAGGCTTAGCTATGCGGATCTGTGAGCAATGCAGTGTATTAAGAGTAATGGAGGCAAGAGGGTAGGATAGAATCGGAAAGAAACAAGAGGAGAGAAATGCTGCAGA